ATCTTGATATTCTACTTGATGACACTGGTAGGCAACCTGTTCATCATCATCCTGTCATACCTGGACTCCCATCTCCACACTCCCATGTACTTCTTCCTCTCAAACCTGTCTTTCCTGGATCTCTGCTACACCACCAGCTCTATCCCTCAGTTGCTGGTCAACCTCTGGGGCCCGGAAAAGACCATCTCTTATGCTGGTTGCATGATTCAACTTTACTTTGTCCTCGCACTGGGAACCACAGAGTGTGTCCTACTGGTGGTGATGGCCTATGACCGTTACGCAGCTGTATGTAGACCTTTGCATTACAGTGTCCTCATGCACCCTCGTTTCTGCCACCTGTTGGCTGTGGCTTCTTGGGTAAGTGGTTTTACTGACTCAGCACTTCATACCTTCTTTACCTTCTGGGTACCCCTGTGTGGACATCGCCAAGTGGATCACTTCTTCTGTGAAGTTCCAGCACTGCTGCAACTATCGTGTGTTGATACCCATGCAAATGAGCTGACACTCATGGTGATGAGCTCCATTTTTGTTCTCATACCTCTCATCCTCATTCTCACTTCCTATGGTGCCATTGCCCGGACTGTACTAAGAATGAAATCAACCACTGGGCTTCGGAAAGTTTTTGGGACATGTGGAGCCCATCTTATGGTTGTATCTCTCTTTTTCATTCCAGCCATGTGCATATATCTTCAGCCACCATCAGGAAATTCCCGAGATCAAGGCAAGTTCATTGCCCTCTTTTATACTGTTGTCACACCTAGTCTCAACCCTCTAATCTACACCCTCAGAAACAAAGATGTAAGAGGGGCAGTGAGGAGAATAGTGGGGTGGCAATGAGTCTGTTTACTTCTGATATTAACAGCATAATGAAGCATCTCTTCACCAGTGGTTTACCCATCCATTTATTCATCAATCACCTTTTCATTCACTCACGCCATCAGCACTTACTGAGCACATACTCTCACAAGATCGCAGAGTTCTTCGAAACAGACCTGAATAAAACACAATATGCCTACAGTTCACTGTGGAGAAAACAGCCATGTAAAATCACCATCAAATATCAATAATTTTTTCTGTGGCACAAACCAAATGAATCCAAGATAACCTTTCCTTAATTGAGAAGGAAGCATGAAATTTTTTGTAAAGATTGATAAAAGAGCAGTTTATAATTCCTGTAGAAAGGCGATGTTCTCAATTTATAAAATCTCTAGAATATGTCTTCTAATTTCTTCCTTTTTAGGCAGAATACTTTTGTCTTCTTCCTTTAGTTTAGTTAAAGACATAGTGAAATGCTTTAAATCTTTTCTCCAACACTGCTATTCTTTGTTGAATAGAAATATTGAGAGGAATTTTGGTTCGTATTCTTTCATATCCAATATCAACAGTAAGAAAATAATTTTTTATGGATTGTAGCAGGAAAGGCTCTGAAATGACACAGCAAAAGTAGACATTTCACACCCCTCTTTTTTGCAAGGCAGTAAAAGTGTGTAGGAGGTGGAAAGAGCTTATAAAGTATTGATCATCACGGGCCGGATATAATTAGGTGAGGAAAGTGCTCAGAACACCTGCATAGTCTAGGGAGCTGTGGAGAATATTTGATATTTGAGGCAGTCAGAGAACTAGGCTCGGAAGATGACTTGAAACCAATGTGTGTATAAAAGAAGTACTTGAAAACATATTGAAAACAATGTGTGATAAAAGCTATTATATGGAAAATGTTAGTTTATTTTTCTTATTAAGCTTAACTAATTTGAGTATTTGTGGTTAAGTACATTATGAATGCAAACTTATACATTTTCCAAATAAAAATGTATTCTTATAAAAGTCATAGTTTTGTTACTTATGTTGTTATCAACCATCTCCATCCAAAATAAGTGTACTATGTATATAACACTTTAAACAGGCAGTCATAGTCAACCGGAGTGGAATAACAACTAAAGGAGAATTCAATATAAAGTAAAATATTTTAAATTCCTGAGTTTTGTCTTTAACTCAAATGTCAGCTGTAGCTTTTGAGGCCTTTAAGATTGAGATATGATTGATTCAAACATTATTTCCTCAATTATTAAAATAAAAACACATCCCAAAACTTCCCCCAATTTCCTGTGTGGCTGGC